GAGCAAAAGTAGGGTGGCCCATGCACCTACAGAAATACAGTCAACCGCTGATAGTTCGAGACTACCACTGAAGCGTGCACATTCGCCGTGTCGAGGCCAACTTTCTGACAGTATGATACTATAAATAGCCATGGCACGTGCAATTCTCTACAAATCTATCAACTATTACAGCCGTAAAAAATTTATTGTTGACGATTTTGAAAAGCAGTAAAATTAAGCTTCTTGGTTATTACAGCAGATTTAGAAATTACGTTCGTTTCATTTTTTAAATCGCTTTATCATTAACTGTACCGTTAAGAGCGGCATCTTTTGGTTTAGTACAAATACTATCTCTGAAACACTCGGGTTAGACAGGAACATGATACTAGCAGTAGTTTCATTTTACTTTTACAAGCTTCTTAAAACAATTGTTGAGCTAGCTAACGTGCTCATTTCTTAATTCAATTTCTTGTTCTAGCTTTCTGTTATGTTTCGTAAAAAAGTAGTCTTGATTATCCCGACCTGTCAATCAGCCTTAGAATGGTCGATAGACTGGTTAAGCGACTCTAATTTCAAAACAAGGGCACGTAACCTATCTTTTACTCAAAAGTGTCTGGATGTTATGGGCGACACATGGAACCAGTTTTCAGTCTATTATTTATAGATGATTAATGGTCATAGCTTATTAAGTACAACATGATCGTTTATTTAGTGACTATAATTGTGTGAAACTGATTTGAGGCTTGGCATATATATAAATATTGTGGCGAAATTGTCGATATATATGGAGATATTTATTTATGGTGGGTCACCCTAGCAAAAGAATCGAAGACTTCATTTCACTCATTGATGAACAAAGTTTCTTTAATTCTAGTAAAGTTTGGACGGCAATATTAGAATCATCCGTCGATTAGTTCGAGTTCGACCCGGATTGACCGGCGGCGGAGGGCGAGTTGGCGATGTTGCCAGATGAAATAACACTACAGGTATTATCTTTCGCCTTTGATTTTTCTACAGCAGACGATTTCTTCGAACTCCTTGACTTTTTAGTAGCGACTGTAGATGATTTCTCGAGAGAATCATTTTTCATGCTTGTATTGTCTTTCAATTTAACCCTCTTTGGTGTAAGTTGTGAAGGCGAGGCTTCTTTTAAAATGGCGTCTGCCATCCCGCCATAAGTTTATTTTTAATAAGTAATGGTACCATCTACTAATTAAGTAGTAGTTGAATAAAAATTATAGTTTATTAATTTCGAATTATCGAAATTGATGTGCCAGTGATATTAATCACTATGTAGAGGCAAATAAAAGACAGTTTTATGTCTTTAGAATAATGTGTCCTTCCTCGAGAGCATGTATCGCACTGATTGGAGCATGCGTATTGCTATCTCAGAATCACGTGATTGGCTGATAGAATCCAGAAAGTTGTGGTCTGAAATGCGCAAATATCAAAAGGGACAGATCTTTGAGACGTTTAAGTTTCATCAAAATCAGATAAAAATTGTGAACCTAGGGTCCACAACCTTCGTAGCATACTTTTAAACAATTTGCGGGCCATTTTGTCGGGCAGTTTCATTTAGATTTTCCCGAAATTCGAATTCAACCTTCATTATGGTGGAATGGTGATATTTAAACGGTTTTTAAAATCGGAAAAAAAATGTGACCTCTAGAGAATTCGCATGCTCAAAATGTGATTTTTCGAACAATCAGTAGCTGAAATCCAGCAAGTTACGTTCGGATATACGCGATTATGAAAAGGAACCCTTGATCTTAGTGTGTAATGGTGATGTGAATATACTATTCAAAAAAAGTAGGGGATATTTGATTTTGGGGGCATAATACTAAAATATGCAAATGACTACGAAAAAAGTCACTATAGAACCTAACAGAAGAAACATTTCCAGTTACATGTGACGCCCAAACGCACCAATAGCTACCGCATGGAATGCAGGTGATGCTTGGGATCATCATGGGGGTCCAACCCAAGATTTGCACGACTCTGACTTTGAATGTTACAGTCATTGTGGCATTGAATTCCAGGTGGAAACATCAGTTTAATTGTTTTAGTGACCAGAAAACTTTGATATGCGTCGGCTTACCCAAAATGAAAGGCTACGTGCCCTTGTCATGCTACAGATCGGCACAACACAGGCGGTTGTGGCGCGGACGATGAATGTTTCTCAGTCTGTCATAAGCAGGCTATGGTCCAGATACCGTGATACACAATCTGTACAGGACAGACCACGCTCAGGTCGACCAAGGGCGACAACTCAAGCCCAGGATCGATTTATCCGTACCTTGGCCTTGAGAAATCGTGTCATCACAGCAAATCAGATCAGCGCTCGTCTTCAAACAGACACTGGTGTGAGAGTGAGTGGCCAGACGATTCGGAATCGACTGCATAGGGGTCACCTTCGCGCCCGACGTCCTCGCGTGATCCCTTGTTTGAGAGATCATCACATTCAGGCAAGACGTCGTTGGTGTAGGGATCGTCAACACTGGGATAATCGACGCTGGAGCAATGTGATGTTTTCAGATGAGTCAAGGTTCACTGTTGATTTTTTGGACAGACGTAGGAGGGTGTGGCGTCGTCGAAACGAGAGCTTCCAAGACGTTAACGTCATCAGACATGATCGATTTGGGGGTGGTTCTGTTATGGTGTGGGGAGGCATCACTGTTGCTGGAAGAACGGCTTTACATGTTGTTGCAGGGCGTGTTACAGGCCAGTACTACCGGGACAACATCTTGGCAGTCCATGTTGTGCCGTTCGCACGACGTCATGGCCGCCGTTTCATCTTCCAGGATGACAACGCAAGATGTCACAGGGCCAGGATCGTTACAGGTTACCTCCAACAACAGAACATCACCTTGGCCAGCACTGAGTCCCGACCTCTCCCCCATCGAGCATGTCTGGGACATGCTTGAACAGAGGTTACGTCAACGTCAACAACGTCCTGCCAATGTCCAAGAACTTGCTGCTGCGTTGCAACAGGAATGGGACAATCTGGACCAAAATGACCTTAGACGTCTCATTAGGAGTATGCCACGTCGGATCAATGCTTGTTTGGCAAACAGAGGAGGATTTACCCGTTACTGACTTGGTTGTGATGCTGTGGTAACTTTGCTGTTTGACCCCGGTATCATTTTACCCTTATAATGGTCAGTCTGTGCCTTACTTAGTCTAACGATCATTTGGAATAAATCGATGAATGTGAACTTCATTTCATTTTGTCATTTGTTTCTTCGTCAGTTTCATTAGGTGACTTTAATAACACTTAAAAATCAAATATCCCCTACTTTTTTTGAATAGTATATATATTTCACATCAAATTTTTTTTTTGTTTTTTTTAAATCAGATAAAAATTGTGACCTCTACATGGACCACAAGCTAAAAACGTGATTTTTTGTACATTCAAGGGCCATAATTCAGGAAGATACAATCCCATATGTGCGAATATCGAAAGGAATCAAGATCTTTGGGTTATAAACACGTATTTCAACTTTCATCAAAATCGGACGAAAATTGTGACCTCTAGAGGGTAAATAACCTTGATTTACCAGATGTTTAGACTATTTGCGTACGAGGGGCGGCCATTTTGTCCAGCAGTTTTGGCCCGATTTTCACGAAATTCGAAGTCAAACATTAGTGTAACGGTGATATATTCGAACGTTTTTTTTTAAAATCTGATAATTGTGACCTCTACAGGGACCACAAGCTAAAAACGTGATTTTTCGTACAATCAAGGGCCATAATTCAGGAAGTTACAATTTGATATGCACAAAAATAGAGGAACCAAGATATTTGGGTTATAAATATTAATTTCAAATTTCATCAAAATCAGATGAAAATTGTGACCTCATGGGGTCCACAAGCTAAAAACGTGATTTTTCGTACAAGGGCCATAATCAGGAAGTTATGGTCCGATATGCGCGAATATCGAAAGGAACCGAGATCCGTGGTTTATAAACATGCATTTCAAGTTTCATCAAAATCGGATGAAAATTGTGACGTCCAGAGGGTCCACAATCCTGATACGCAATATTTTTGACACTATTTGCGAACGAGGGGCGGCCATTTTGTCACGTCAGTTTCGGTCCGATTTTTACGAAATTCGAACTCAACCATTATTAGGGTGTAACATATATTCACAAGGTTTTTTTCAATCGGATAAAAATTGTGACCTGTAGAGTGTTCACAAACAGTTGTGGACGGACGGACAGGGGCGACGACAATATACGTCCACATGAAAATGTGGGCGTATAATAAAAAATTGTGACCTTTTGAGGGACCACAAGCTAAAAACGCGATTTTTCGTACAATCAAGGGCCATAATCCATAGTCCGATACATGCCAGTATCGAAAGGAACCGAGATCTTAGGGGGGTAAACCTATATTTCAAGTTCCATTGAAATCGGATAAAAATTGTGACCTGTAGACTTCAAACAATTGTGGACGGACAGGGACGACAATATACGTCCACATGAAAATGTGGGCGTATAATAAAAATTGTGACCTTTTGGGGGGACCACAAGCTAAAAAGGCGATTTTTCGTACAAACAAGGGCCATAATTCAGAAGTTATGATCCGATAAACGCGAATATCTACAGGAATCCAAGATATTTGGGTTGATGTTTCAAGTTCAAAATCTAATCAAAATTGTGACTTTTAGCAGGTCAAGAACCTTGATACACATATTTTTTTACACAACAGTGTAACGGCGATATATTCGAACGTTTTTTTTTTTAAATCTGATAATCGTCCTCTAAAAGGAACCAGAAGATAAAAACTTGATTTCTCATACAACCAGGGGCAATAATGCAGGACGTTACGATCCGTTATGTGAAAATATCGAAAGGCTATCAAGATCTTTGGGGGATAGACACTCCAAAGTTTCGTTAAAATCGGATAAAAAAATTGTGCACTGTAGAGTGCTTAAATTGTGGACGTACGTATGGACGGACAGGGCCGTATAAGTTTCAACTAAATCGGACAATATATCACATTAAAATAAATGTAAATACTAATGAATTTAAGTTTTATTTTCTAAACAAATTCAGAGTTGTTCGACTTCACCTGGAAAATAAAAATGGATTTTTAATTTTAAAGTGTGGTGAACAAAAAAATGACAATATATCGAAACTACATCGTTGTAGCTATCCCACGTATTTGCGCCTTTACGGGTTTAATATAGACAGTGGCAATATTTTGTACCTTTTGTGATGCCAAGTAGATCCTATGTTTGGATATTTTCGTGGTATTTGTTAATTCGAAATAAAGTCAAGGTTCGAAACTTAGAATTACAATTGCTTTAGGAAGACAATACTTCCTAGCCAGCGCAGTAACCCCAACACCGGAATCTTTTTGCAGGCCAGAATTCGGATCAGGGTATAATTTTACACCCTCAAAATATCAGTAGATATTTACTTACCCCTTTACGTAGTTACTGCCAACTGAACACGAGCTCTGAAAAAGAAAAGCACACATTGTAATATAATTATGTAGACCGATACTTACAATTTACCAAAGTATTCAAACTTTTAGAGCACAGGTTCAGCCCATTTATTGGCTATAAATTCTCATCTAGTTTAATCCCGCAAACGTTTATAAGTTTACCGAGATGTTCAAAATCTATATCGACTGATCGTGTATTACGAAAACGGCATTTAACCACTAAAACTGCCAAATATGAAAATTCCGAAATAAAAACAAAATGACCCGCGATTGCCATCTGAATATTTAAGTTCAGATGCCGGTACGCAACATTTCAATCGAAATGTGGATAAATCTTGGAAAAAAGGCGTCATATCGCTCCATGACCCTTAAATATGCATAGCCCGACAAATCTGTATTGTCTGCAGCAGAAACTGATTACGGTACTTGGAAAAAAGGCGTCATATCGCCCCCACGACCCTTAAAATATGCATAGCCCGACAATATTTCCGATTTAAATCCTTATTGTTTGCAGCAAAAACATGGCCCGGTTCCTAGAAAATTCTTAAAGCACAAAGTCGTGCTTCACTTTTTCTTACGTAAAAAACTTATAAAAATAACGTCCCTAGAAAATTCTCAAGACCATTCTTACGTAAGCACAAGTCAAGTATAAGTCTAAGCACATGTGTGACTGGTAAAGTTTACCATAATCTGAAACTACGACGCTCTTTAACGTCATAAAAACAACTTTGGTATGCGAATTACGTCAAATTTGTCGTCTGCTTCATTGAAGTCATATATATATATATACACATGGTTGATTTAGACAGAACTATTATATACGATCCATGATTTAGATGCATTTGACATGCCCCCTATACACATAAAATGTGCCACAAGATAAAAAAAAAACGCAGACACATACAAACTAACTGAATAATTGAGAGAGCGCCTGATCTTAAAGTAGCCCGTGTGTTTGTAGTCTATTGTTTACTAATTGGCAAATAAATAAAGTGGTTTCAGGGTAAAAACGAAATTTTCTATAGCATTCTTATCTTCTGGGGAAGGATTTTCTCGGTCTCCTTGGTATCAAAGGTGTCGAAAATGCCGTCGAATAACTCAACGGTCAGCCATCTTTTTGAAGCAGAAACAGACTTAAGGTTGGTAAGCATGCCCTATACCTTGCTTGGGACTTGTGCTTAGATTGACTATGTTTAAGAACTAAGTTGTGCTTAAGTTTTTTCTTGGAACGCATAACGTTCTTGTGCGTACAATGAAGTCTACTCAAATCTAAGCACAAGCTATTATCCAGGAAATTAAGATCAGATATGCGCGAATCTGGTAAACGAGATCTTTGGGTATTTCAAGTTTCAAAATTGGGACACTGTCACCTCGAACGATCTTAGTATTGCATACTATTTGCGTTCAAGGAGCGGCCATTTTGTCGGGCAGTTTCGGTACTTGTGTTACAGCTTCACTCGACAGATCGGCCAATATCAAAGCCACGGGCACATCTTCATTAGCCAGACAAGAAAAAGATTGAGGCTTGAAATTATCCGAAGTTTCTCGAACGAAAGGCCAAGGGGCCCCAAGCGGTCGAAAGGGTTGATGGGCTTCCACCCTTGCGTGAAATAAATTGTAGTACTTACTCCATTGCAGCTGACTGTACATAGTTGAAAAGTACATTCATACGATACAAGTTTATCACCTTCAACATAGAAAGATTTAAAGTAGGGACTTCTTGTCGTTCTACCATTAGTTATAAAACCTGTATTGTGAGGTATAACTTGACCGTCACCACAACCAGCTCTCAGAATGGCGTATCTCTTTTTGTTGGTGGCACCAATACCATAACAAGACACGGCCCTAAGTCCGATTTCTTTAACTGTAAAATAGACATTGAACATATTACATTAGTAAATATAATTACATTTCGGCCATAGCGACAGTTAACAATCAGCGACTGTGTCACCAACAATTGGGAACAAATCGTATTGTTGAATCTACAAATGCATTACACGTTTTGTCAAGAAAATCGAGTTCCGAATTAGTTAAAAACCTGAGAAAGCTACCGAAGTGTCGTTATTACCGCTAGGTGTATTCAAAATATATATTTTGCGAATTATTCGATTATGCGTCACGCTAACAAATGTAATTGAACATTTCAGATAGGCTATGCGATTGTTAAGGTTACCAATATAAATACTTACGTGTGCCTAGAGATACAGCATATAAAGTAATAACTTTATCAATAGGTATACTAGTAGATATAGTTTTACGTCTTATATCTTGTACATTTAATGTAATATACGAACTGGATACAGATGTTCCTACGTTATATAACTTTTCATGAGGAGACACCAAACTGAAAGTTATAAGTAAAACCACACTAATTTAACAGCGAAAATTTTACCAAGACATTCCAGCTTTTGATTAACATTACTCATAGTCTTCAAAAGCCCATTTTCACTATATTTGTACGGTATGTTTCCATAAATCTTTGTTTTTAATGTCATTATTTAAATGGTTTTGAATGTAGGGTCACTAATATGCCGAAATTTGTTTTCGCTCGACAGCACCAAGGATACAAGGGTTCCAACTTGCTTCTGGAATATGCAATTCCTGGAGGACGTCGGATCTCAGACCAGTCCATAAACGCCTACGTAAAACCGGGTTACGAGCCAGACGTCCCGTTTTGAAATATGCCGACACAGTCAAATCCGAATTCAAATGGGTTTAGACGGGGCATGGCCACAGCAATGTTGTAGAACAGTTTGGTTGAGCGACTACAGCAATGTTAGCAAGAATGGTCAGCTCTTTATCTAAATCTTACATACTTATTGTTAATAAACTAGTTCCGCAGTAGTCTAACCAGCGGTTGTCATGCAAGATACGCCCACGAGATAGCAATGGTAGGACTTGATTTTTCGTACAATCAGGGGCCATAATCCAGTAAGGAATCGAGATCTGTGAGATGTAAACATATTTTCAAGTTTCATGAAGATCGGACACATGGTGACCCCACATCTTCGTATTTTTCGCACTATTTGCGTTCAAGGAGCGTCCGTTCTTTAATCCGATTTAAGAAATTCTAACTAGAGTATCAGGGTGTAACAAAATATTTTAAACGATTTTTAAAATCTGGACAAATTGCGACCTCCAGGAGGGTCCACAAGATAAAGTGATTTTTCATACAATCAGGGGTCATAATTCAGGAAGTTAGTCCGATACATGCCAATATCGAAACGACCGTAGATTTGTTGCAGGTAAACCTATATTCAAGTTTGTCAAACTTTGACTCAAATGAAAATTACAGACGGACGAGGGCGACGACCAGTATACGTCCACGTAAAAATATGGACGTGTAAAAATTTGCGTTGACCACAACTGAAGGAAATATACTATTCAAAAAAAGTAGGGGATATTTGATTTTTAAGTGTTATTAAAGTCACCTAATGAAACTGACGAAGAAACAAATGACAAAATGAAATGAAGTTCACATTCATCGATTTATTCCAAATGATCGTTAGACTAAGTAAGGCACAGACTGACCATTATAAGGGTAAAATGATACCCGGGGTCAAACAGCAAAGTTACCACAGCATCACAACCAAGTCAGTAACGGGTAAATCCTCCTCTGTTTGCCAAACAAGCATTGATCCTACGTGGCATACTCCTAATGAGACGTCTATGGTCATTTTGGTCCAGATTGTCCCAAGTTCTTGGACATTGGCAGGACGTTGTTGACGTTGACGTAACCTCTGTCCAAGCATGTCCCAGACATGCTCGATGGGGGAGAGGTCGGGACTCAGTGCTGGCCAAGGTGATGTTCTGTTGTTGGAGGTAACCTGTAACGATCCTGGCCCTGTGACATCTTGCGTTGTCATCCTGGAAGATGAAACGGCGGCCATGACGTCGTGCGAACGGCACAACATGGACTGCCAAGATGTTGTCCCGGTAGTACTGGCCTGTAACACGCCCTGCAACAACATGTAAAGCCGTTCTTCCAGCAACAGTGATGCCTCCCCACACCATAACAGAACCACCCTCAAATCGATCATGTCTGATGACGTTAACGTCTTGGAAGCGCTCGTTTCGACGACGCCACACCCTCCTACGTCTGTCCAAAAAATCAACAGTGAACCTTGACTCATCTGAAAACATCACATTGCTCCAGCGTCGATTATCCCAGTGTTGACGATCCCTACACCAACGACGTCTTGCCTGAATGTGATGATCTCTCAAACAAGGGATCACGCGATGACGTCGGGCGCGAAGGTGACCCCTATGCAGTCGATTCCGAATAGTCTGGCCACTCACTCTCACACCAGTGTCTGTTTGAAGACGAGCGCTGATCTGATTTGCTGTGATGACACGATTTCTCAAGGCCAAGGTACGGATAAATCGATCCTGGGCTTGAGTTGTCGCCCTTGGTCGACCTGAGCGTGGTCTGTCCTGTACAGATTGTGTATCACGGTATCTGGACCATAGCCTGCTTATGACAGACTGAGAAACATTCATCGTCCGCGCCACAACCGCCGACGCATATCAAAATTTGTTTTCTGGTCACTAAAACAATTAAACTGATGTTTCCACCCTGGAATTCAATGCCACAATGACTGTAACATTCAAAGTCAGTGTCGTGCAAATCTTGGGTTGGACCCCCATGATTATCCCAAGCATCACCTGCATTCCATGCGGTAGCTATTGGTGCGTTTGGGCGTCACATGTAACTGGAAATGTTTCTTCTGTTAGGTTCTATAGTGACTTTTCGTAGTCATTTGCATATTTTAGTATTATGCCCCCAAAATCAAATATCCCCTACTTTTTTTGAATAGTATATTTGGCATACTATTGTTAATCGATGTTAAGTAAGCAGCTTACCCTCCGACTACTTGATGACGAGCAGCCGAGATTTTAGCTTTAGAATTGAAAGAACATGATACAGTATAAACTTGTTCATTAGCTAATAAACCAGATCCTGGTAAACCATACATTATAGCTACATCTAATTTATATGTTCCTTTATGATTCTGAAAATAAAATTACAACTAATTAAGCCGTTAGATAACAATTCGACGACAAAATACAATTAATATGTCATGAACTTTCGATTTCAATCTTGTGTCGAATTATATACTTACGACAAATAGACATCCACTGGAACTATGTACATAACTACCAGCAAGTTTGTAATTAGCTGCATCAATTTTGGTAAAATTCAGATCTCCATTAGCACATCTAGCTACAGCTCGAATATTTAAGTCTGTCAAGATGTTTACAACAGGTCTAGCTCTGACAGAGCTTCCACAAAGTGGTGTAACTGAAACATTAAATTTTATTTAAAGAATGACCAGATGAAGCAAGCTAAGCTTTACCTGGACAGTACGCAGAAAGTTGAAACTCGATCAAAAACTATTTAGTTTATGAATAAAGCTTGGGTTGAGGCAGAAAACTTGGGTTAAGACAGATCACCCGGGCGATTAGATCCTGACAGCAACATCTCGAATAGGACTACTTAATCAGAAAATATTTAAAGAAAATCCGATTGAAAAGAAAAGATTACTTACCATCCAGAATGTAACCATTCGGAATACTCATAGCCGACGTCATAGCCTACAAAAATAAAGAGTCATAGAACAGGTCACGTGGCCTAAGAGTTACAATTTCTTGTATCAAAAAAAACAATGCTCCGATTCGATTGACAAAACCATAAAAGGAGCTAAATTGCTACTATGTGGGACCTACAAAATTGAGACGAATAGGTCGCAACGCATATGTAATATCAATGTATATAAACCGATTTAAATTCATTTTCCGTTTTACTCAATTTCAAAGTTATGTTCGGCGAAATTTGCCAGAAGTCTCAATCGAAGGAGTATCTAGTGTCTGGTTATTCCAGTCTACACCGACAGTATTGCCCATGCTGTCGATAATTGACTCGTTCTTCGAGTCCCTTGTTACATATGGCGCCCAAAACGCATTATAGTACAGGATGTGCGCACCAAATGCTAAACTATTATTTTGTCTTAAATATTGGATATCAGAAGCACATCTTTTCCCGGTAAGACCACAACATCAATCTTCATTTCAATTGACAAATAATTCGTGTTTTTGTCGAAGACTGGATGGTTGGAGTTAGAGACTTATCTGCTTTAAAATGGGACCAATGTTACACAATTGAAAGACTGCGGGTTCTAACTCACAGTTGTACGTGACAAGGAGTAGGGTTGCCTGTCCAACCTCGTGGGTTTTCTCCGGGTCATCTGTTTCCTACCACAGCTAAAGACCCCTACACGCAAGCGAATTTAAATAAACTGAACCATATGTTAGTATCGACATTACCTAGTTCTGGAACTGCATGACGAGTTTTAATTTCCAATAAATTTAGCAAAGCTGACCGGCGAGGATATTTCCGTGGACATTGTTTCATTAGTGGATAAGTACTTACCAATGACAGAAGTGTCAACGATAGAATCACTATAGCCATTCTGAAATAAGATAAGTTTGTGAGATCTAAGTATAAAAAAATAACAGGCCCCATCGTTGTTTTGTATGTAAAGGTTATCGGGAAAATTGTCAGATTGAAGGAATTTAAAGATACATTATGGGAGAATAAAGAGCTGACAGTTCTCACTATAATAGTTAAAAACTAGATAATGTAAAGGGTATTTGAAAATTTAAGTTAAAATTGATCCACTCTGAACCGAAAATTCTGCCATTGAATTTTCGGCCTAGCCTCGATCATCGGTACGATAAAAAAGTTTATCATTTCATGATTAAATCATGAATGAAAGTCGAGTCGCAAATCGGATCCTAATCCAGTAAATGTCACAGGCTAGCAATGACACGAGTTGATTATGGCCTGGATAAGTTAATGTCTAATAATTTACATTAGATAACATGTTAACTGCAATTTGTAGCCGTGACAATTCTTAACCACGGCTGAAATTGATACACTTTTTGAATCTTGAGCAAGTAAAATTAGGTTCCAATTGCAAAATATTTCAACACATCACATGGAAATAAGTAATTATGTTACAAATAGTGAAGAGTGGAACACTGAAATCATAATCTTATCCAACAGTTTTTCTGTATTTTCGTGATTCTGGTTCGGCGGCAATTTTAAAGTGAACAGAAATTTCGCATAGCAGTTGGGTTTAATCAAATCATTTTAATACGATAAGGTTTCACCGTACCTCAATGGGAATTGGTTTATTATATGTTAAGGTATGTACAGTACAGTTTGGGCATTAGTGTAATTGGAAATTAAGGGAGTTATAGGCCAGTAGTCAAATGACTACAAAACTTGCTAAGAAGGAAGGCCTTGGGACGGTCCACTACTGTGGCTGGAGCAAGATGGAAGACATCAGTAGTGGAACCATTTCTAGCATAATTTATGTTTAATGTAATCCTATCAACTCCTCTTTTCAAATGATTTTTTTAAAAAATATAATAACACTAAATTAAAGCATAGCCCAACAAATGCATAATTTCTTCCGACGATTGGGTTAAATTACAAACTTATTTGGCAAAAATGTACATAAAACATAGCAAATCCGATAAACACATAACCAACCATACCTGCTTTTGTTGTATCGTTTCAAACTCTAATAACACATGCGTCAACAATCACTCCTTTTATACTCATCTGCACACTAACTGCACGTGCATTAGTATTGGTGATAAGGCGAGTTCAATTATGGAATGACAAGGCTGCCTAAAAACTAATAAACGAATGGCTGACCAATCTCGGAAACCTATTGTCACACATTAAACCCACTACTAGGTGTTACACTGGAATATAATTTATTCAGTATATGAAGTTCAAGGTAAGATGCAGAAGATGGTCTACATGTATCTATATTTACCAATAGACAGAAATTAGAATAAACTTTTGAAAATTACACCTCGGCTCAAACGTAATTTGTTTTAACGATTGCGCTAGTGACGCCACTAGCATAACAGCGCCCCCCCCCCCCACCAAGCATAACAGCACCCCCCCCCCCCCCCCCCAAAGAAAAACCAACAAAAAAAACCAAATACGCACGGAATTAATTCAGACCTCTTTTACTGATAAACGTTATCAAATATTGTTGTTTTTTCGGAAAATAGTAGATATAATTCATTTTAATCAAATATGTTCCTGGCTGTTGATTTTCAATAGAAATGAAATAGTAAAGACGAATAAACATGCAATTTTCGGCCCTTTTTTCAACCTAACCATCCTCTCCACTCTCGTATCTGTCCGCCTAAAAATCATGAATATTTACCAAAATCTGGCAGAAAATCTATTTTCAAACCTTTTTCTTCGATTCTACACCAAAACGTCAACAAAAATCAATCGCCATACAAAAGGAGGAAAAGGGCAAAGGGAGAGAAAGACTAAAAATAGCTTTGTCCGTATAAAAAACAAGGGAGGTAACTATAATGTTATTGCTAGTGTTATTTGGAGGCAGACCACCATTAATTTCCATATTGACTTCAATGTCAATTCTGGCCTCTTTGCCCACCTCCAGCTTTTCCCAAAATTTTCGTTGGCCTCAATGCTTTTCACTACAGATAGAGGAACAAATGGTCATGTCTTTGCACTAAAATTTGTATGAGGTTGACCACCAAAATTTTGAGATACACAAACTTGAAGAAGCATACTAAAAACATGTAACTAGTTGCCATACATATCGCCGTAGCCAACCTGATAACCCTGTTATCCTTCCGCCTCAAAATCATGAATATTTACCAAAACCTGGCAGATAATGTTAATTCAAACCCTCTTCGTCCATTCTAGACCAAAAAATCAACAAAAATGGGCATGCAAAAGGGGAGAAAAGAGAGAGAGAATTGCTATAAATAGACGAACTACAATGGTGAAATTTAAGGCAGTGGCTATTTGCCACATGTGGTAAGCAAGAATTTCAAAATAGCCTTACGACTACAGACCGCAATTGTTACCCGATTTTAATGAAACTTACAGATAATGATTACATTGATAAGATCTCTGAGTAGCAAAAATTTCGGCCACTTCCGGTTGGCGGTTTCCTAGTCCAGCTCTGAACGTAGGTCTCATTACACTCGCCTCTACGTCCAGGGAACGTGTTATTGAAGCCTTGGAGAAAAAAGTCTGGCTTCCCAGTCAATTTTACTGGGCAACTTTTTACTGCGAAACGGTCGCGTGTCAGTCCCTGTGAACGCCTGAACAATATAAATGAAAATCTTAGTGAGAAAATAAGACCTTACGCTTACCTCGCTAGAGTCAGTATGAGCGACACAACACGCTGTTAAAAAAATACGTCTCCGTCTTCTAACCGACTTGGCGGACATCATTGAAAGGGTAACGCACAAATTTAAGAACTCGGGCATATAAGATGAAACGTAGAGGCGAGTGTAATAAGAGCTACGTTCAGAACTGGACTAGCGGTTTCCGAGAAATGGGGGTTATCACACATTTCATGTGGCACGATTACAGACCGCAATTATGAACCGATTTACATGAAACTTACAGAATATGATAACATTTATTATATCTCAGAGTAGCTAAAATTTTGACCACTTCCGGTTAGCGGTTTTCGAGATATCAGGTTACCACACATTTCATGTGGCACGGATACAGACCACAATTATCAATCGATTTCAATGAAACTTGCAGATTATAATAACATTAATTATATCTCAGAGTAGCCAAAATTTCGACCACTTCCGGTTAGCGGTTGTCGAGATATCAGGTTACCACACATTTCATGTGGCACGACTACAGACCACAATTATCAACCGATTTCAATGAAACTTGCAGATCATAATTACCTTAATTATATCTCAGAGTAGCAAACATTTCGACCACTTCCGGTTAGCGGTTTCCGAGATATCAGGTTACCACACATTTCATGTGGCACGGCTACAGACCACAATTATCAACCGATTTCAATGTAACTTGCAGATTATAATTAGTTTAATTATATCTCAGAGTAGCTAAAATTTCGACCACCATTTCCGGTTAGCGGTTTCCGAAATATCAGGTTACCACACATTTGATGTGGCACGGCTACAGACCACAATAATCAACAGATTTCAATGAAACTTACAGATTATAATTAATTTAATCATATCTCAGAGTAGCCAACATTTCGACCATTTCCGGTTACCGGTTTCCGAAATATCGACCACTTCCGGTAAGAGGTTTCCCCGATATCAGGTTACAACACATTTCATGTGCCACGGCTACAGACAATTATCAATATCTCAGAGTAGGCAAAATTTCGACCACTTCCGGTTAGCAGTTTCCAAGATATCAGGTTACTACACATTTCAGGTGGCATGGCTACAGATCACAATTATCAACCGATTTCAATGAAACTTGCAGATTATAATAGCTTTAATAATATCTCAGTGTAGGCAAAATTTGGACCACTTCCGGTTAGAGGTTTCGGAGGCACGGCTACAGACCACAATTATCAACCGTTTTTAATGAAACTTGCAGAATATGATAACATTAATAATATCTCAGAGTAGGCAAAATTTCAACCACTTCCGTTTAGCAGTTTCCAAGATATCAGGTTACCACACATTTCATGTGGCACGGCTACAGACCACAATTATCAATCGATTTCAATGAAACTTGCATTTCGACAACTTCTGGTTAGCGGTCTGAGATAGGTTACCACACATTTCACGTGGCACGGCTACAGATCACAATAATCAATCGATTTCAATGAAACTTGCAGATTATAATTACTTTAATAATATCTCAGTGTAGCCAAAATTTCGACCATTTCCGGTTACCGGTTTCCGAAATATCAGGTTACCACACATTTCATGTGGCACGGCTACAGACCACAATTATCAACCGATTTCAGTGAAACTTGCAGATTATAATAAATTTAATTATATCTCAGAGTAGTTAAAATTTCGACCACTTCCGGTTAGCGGTTTCCGAGATATCAGGTTACAACACATTTCATGTGGCACGACTACAGACCGCAATTACCAACCGATTTCAATGAAACATGCAGATTATCATTACGTTAATAATATCTCAGAGTAGGCAAAGTTTCGGCCACTTCCGGTTAGCGGTTTCCGAGATATCAGGTTACCACACATTTCATGTGGCACGGCTACAGACCACAATTATCAACCGATATCCATGAAACTTATAGAATATGATAACATGAATAATTTCTTAGAGTAGACAAAATTTCGACCACTTCCGGTTAGCGGTTTCGGAGATATCAGGTTACCACACATTTCATGTGGCACGGCTAAAGACCGCAATTACAAACCGATATCAATGAAACTTGCAGATTATAATAAAATTAACAATATCTCAGAGTAGGCAAAATATCGACCCCTTCCGGTTAGCGGTTTTGGAGATATCAGGTTACCACACATTTAATGTGGCACGGCTACAGACTGCAATTACAAACCGATTTCAATGAAACTTACAGAATATGATAACATTAATAATATCTCAGAGTAGAGAAAATTTCGACAATTTCCGGTTAGCTGTTTCCGAGATATCAGGTTACCACACATTTCACGTGGCACGGCTACAGACCAGAATTATCAACCGATTTCAATTAAAATTGCAATTTATAATTACTTTTATAATATCTCACAGTAGACAAAATTTCGACTACTTCCGGTTAGCGGTTTCGGAGATATCAGGTTACCACACATTTCATGTGGCACGGCTACAGACCGCAATTATAAACCGATTTCAATGAAACTTGCCGATTTAGTTAACATTAATAACATCTCAGAATAAGAAAAATTTCGCCCACTTCCGGTCAACGGTTCCCGAATTATCAGATTACCACACATTTCATGTGGCACGACTACAGACCACAATTATCAACCGATTTCCATGAAACTTACAGATTATAATTAGTTTAATCATATCTCAGAGTAGCTTAAATTTCGACCACTTCCGGTTAGCGGTTTCCGAGATATCAGGTTACCACACATTTCATGTGGCACGGCTACAGACCACAATTATCAACCGATTTTAATGAAATTTACAGATTATAATAACTTTAATAATATCTTAGTGTAGCAAAAATTCGACCACTTCCGGTTAGCGGTTTCCGAGATATCAGGTTACCACACATTTCATGTGGCACGGCTACAGACCACAATTATCAACCGATTTTAATGAAATTTACAGATTATAATAAATTTAATAATATCTCAGTGTAGCCAAAATTTCGACCACTTCCGGTTAGCGGTTACCGAGATATTAGGTTACCACACATTTCATGTGGCACGGCTACAGACCACAATAATCAACCGATTTCAATGAAACTTGCAGATTACAATTACTGTAATAATATCTCAGAGTAGCCAACATTTCGACCATTTCCGGTTACCGGTTTCCGAAATATCAGGTTACCACACATTTCATGTGGCACGGCTACAGACTACAATTATCAACCGATTTGAATGAAACTTGCAGATTATAATAAATGTAATTATATCTCAGAGTAGCCAAAATTTCGACCACTTCCGGTAAGAGGTTTCCGCGATATCAGGTTACAACACATTTCATGTGGCACGGCTACAGACCACAATTACCAACCGATTTCAATATAATAATATCTCAGAGTAGGCAAAATTTCGACCACTTCCGGTTAGCGGTTTCGGGGATATCAGGTTACCA